TACCCTTTGGTTTACAGAAGACAACCATTTCCTTGGCGGCCAGAGGCACTTTTTCGTGGGTTTTCAGTTAGACTACATGGCAGCATTCCATACAAGTTCTTCAGAACTTTTGAGACTCAAAAGTTGCTAATACAATTATTCCAAATAGCGTATTAAGCTTCTTCACTAGGCACATCTATACGAATCCATGGTCTGATTTCATACCGCGTACCTGTTGTATCCCATAATAAGGCGTTACCGTGCAGTACAGATACTCATTTGTATTCAGCATATCAAATAACCACAGCAGACTATTTTCCAAGCAAATCCGTGATTTTGACCTCCGATCGTGCACTTATCGTGACCCCACAGTAAAGCCCTACCGAGTGAAGCTGATATTCGTGATCAGCATGGTAAGTAAACCGACGTGATCAGCATGATAAGTACACCCAACAGGCGAATCAATGAGATCTGAAGTTTTGACATTTGGGCTCAAGAATCAGATGCTGGCTGCCTTGAGCATAGGGTGACGCCATCGATCGATGCAATTGGAGATTTTGCCGCTAAGATTTCGAAGTCCGAATTTCGCCGAAACTTTGTCAAGTTGGCTTATTTGCATTGCTGATCACGAGGACGCTATTCAGTTTGCGTGGTAGAGCCCCATTGTAGGGTTACGGTAGATGCACGTAGGAAGTTCAAAGTTACGGATCCACCTAAAAGTGGTCTACTGAGATTATTTGTGATGCTGATCGTATTACATATCCATTTTGCACGATAATTTCTGCTTCAATCTTAAATTTGTTGGATGGCAAAAGTCAATCCGATGACAAGGTGGTATTTTCAACCAAAAAGGCAGGACATTTTCTAAATTAATTTTACGCAATAATTCCTAAGCCAAACCTAAAACATGTATATGAGTTCCGCCTCGCAATATGGGTTATCCTTTCATGTTCAAAACGATTTTTGGTTAGAAAGCAAATCGTATTCCATTTTATCAGATGTTTTTTTTTCGTAAGAGATACGTGAACGGTTTGCTATATCTCTGATGGGTTACATATGCTAGCACTTTAAGAGTCTCACACCAATTCATTCGATGATCTAAACAATTGGTCAATATTTTCACTGAAGCAGGGACGATTCTTTCCTAAACGGCCATAGGGTCTAAAGACAC